GAGAAGCAGGCTTCCGGCAGAGCAGGGAACCTGATGCGGGACTCGATCTCAGGACCCCCGGGATCATGACCTGAGCCAAAGGCAGACGCTTAACAACTGAGCCACCCAGGCGCCCCAGTTTTGGACTTTTTAAGTGATAATGTGAATCAGAAAGCAGTATAGTCCTAGGTAAAACATATGTACATGTTTATACATATGCAAGACAATGAATAATAAGGTAAGTACTAATGTTATCCCTAGTGTGGGGTTATATATGATGGATAAAATAAAGAGAATAAAATATTTTTCTACAAAGATAATAAAAACTAAAATAAAATGCCATTTCCTAAAGATTATGGCTTTGGAAGTAGATTATTATTTGACAAACAAGTAAGGAAAATGTATGGGGAGCTGCAGCCAACATGTCAAAGGCAGACTTCTTTCTGGTTCCTAGATCTACTTAAAACTCTTACTTATGGTGGAAAGCAGAAGACAGGTTTGCTTAGTGATTGATGTTCATCTCTTTTTTAGTTATGATGGGGACAAGAGTTGTTTTTTTGTTTTTTTTTAAGAGAGAGTGTGTGAGCAGGGGGAGGGGCAGAGAGAGAGGGATAGAGAGAATCTCAAGCAGGGTCCATACTCAAGAGCCCAACCCCAGGCTCGATCTCACAACCCTGAGATCATGACTTGAGCCAAAATCAAGAGTCAGCTGCTTAACCACTGAGCCACCCAGGCACCCCAAGGGAACTTAACCAAGTTCTTAAAATGGGGTGTGTGGACAAGCTTTAGGGGAATCCATTGACCATTTGGAATTGTGTCAAAAACACTGTATATGTCTATTCATGAATTTTATGTCTGTTACTCCAGTGACTGAGTTCATAGCTTTTAACAGATCTCTAAAGAGTTTGTGATCCAAAAAAGATTAAGAATCTCGGGGCGCCTGGGTGGCTCAGTCAGTTCAGCGTCTGCCTTTGGCTCAGCTCATGATCTCAGAGTCCTGGAATTGAGCGCCCCGCAATGGGCTCCCTGCTTGGTGGGAAGCCTGCTTCTCCCTCTCCCTTTACCTGCCTGTCTGCTTACTTGTGATCTCTCTCTCTCTGTCAAATAAATAAAATCTTCTAAAAAAAAAAAAACAAAAAAAAAAGATTAAAAACCCCATGGACAGTTCCTGTCTGTTTCTTCATAGAGTAAGGGGGTTGTGGATTTTCAATCACAGATTACTGGAAGGACAGTGTTTATTCAGGTCTTGGAGTAATAAAAGAATGATTGCAGAGCTGTTGATTTTTCTCTAGGTTATACATTTCTGCCTTCTAACTATTCTTTCGTAACCTTTGATCTTGGTCTACTATTTTCATCCTTTGCTGCCAGACACCTCAAAATAGATCATATTCAGAGATTTTAATTTTTCCCCTAACGGCTATGTTTATTAAAGATATTTTCAGTTTTTTGTTGTCTTATCAAGGATTGGATTGCAGTATTACACTCGGATGATTTTTAACAGGTCTTGTTGCCTTTGAACAATTAGAGGTTTGTGTTTATTTTAATAGGTAAAAAATTAGTAAGTTCCTCCTAGAATGAAGACACCATTCTTTTAATCCATAAGTCTTTTTTTTTTTTTTTTTTAAGATTTTATTTATTTATTTTTCAGAAAGATATACACAGCAAGCGAGGGAACACAAGCAGGGGGAGTGGGAGAGGGAGAAGCAGGCTTCCCGTTGAGCAGAGAGCCCAATGTGGGGCTCGATCCCGGGACCCTGGGATCATGACCTGAGCCAAAGGCAGACACTTAACGATTGAGCCACCCAGGCACCCCAATCCATAAGTCTTTTTATGTGTACCTGGGACTTTGAGGATTTATATCCTGTTCAAGTCATCATTGATATTTTTTGTGTACCTAGGTGTGTAGACTTTTGACAGTTTTTTTCTAATTCCTTTTCCTCTTTCCTTTCTTTGGGAGGTGCGGGTTAGAAAGAATCTTGCAACTCTTTGCAGTCTAGCAGTTATCTGGGATTCCAGTTGATTATATCAGAAACACCTCATGTTTATATTTAAAACAGTATGTCTTTCTGTAAGGAACTTTATTATTTCCACACCAGCATCTCATTAGGTCTTCCTTCATTCCCAGGAGAAATTTTCTGAGTATTCAGTTTCATTGTGTAGGAAAAAGATGGAAGTACTGGTACTCTTACCCTTTAAAAACAAAACAAAACAAAACAGAAAACACACAGAACTCAGGTTCTCTCTCAGCCTGTCTTCCACTTGGACTTAAATTTCAGTCAGTTTAAATATTAGGTTACATTGCATATTCTGAACCTTAGATATGAGGGAGCCTTTACTTTCAGTCATAGTTGTTGATTAAAGTTTTCTTAGCTTTGGAATTTCACAAATAATTTAAATATGTTCAACCCTTTTCCATTTAAGGTTTTTGGAATAAAATTTTTATATATATATTTCAGTTAGAGTGAATTTTTTTTGGAGCTGTGGCATCCTGTTACTTGTTTGAATCTGGTACATCTTTGTACTCTTCTAAGGTATTGTGAAATATGTGTGTGATATTTTAGGTGAAGTTTTTAAAATTGTGCATCATATTTGGTGATAATTGGAAACTGGAGTGTGTGACAAGGGCATAGTTGAGAATAACCATTGTATAAAATATCTGTCTTTTCAAATTGATTTTTCACTTTTCTTGCGCAAAGGAAAAAAAAATTAGTAACACTATATGGTTTCCTCATGATAATGCTGATGTTTTAGAGAGAATAGTCCTGCTTTACTTATCTGAAGAATTGGGATATTAATACATATTTCACAAGGGTGTTTAAGAAATCAATAGGATAAAATATGTGAAATGCCGGGGCGCCTGGGTGGCTCAGTCGGTAAGCGTCTGCCTTCGGCTCAGGTCATGATCCCAGGGTCCTGGGATCGAGCCCCGCATCGGGCTCCCTGCTCTGTGGGAAGCCTATTTCTCCCTCTCCCACTCCCTCTGCTTGTGTTCCCTCTTTCGCTGTGTCTCTGTCAAATAAATAAATAAAATCTTTAAAAAAAAACAAAAACAAAAAAAAATGTGTGAAATGCCTAACACAGGGACTGCACATAGTAGGTTCATTCCAACAAAGACTATATGTGACATAAGCATAATCATGCTTACAGGGAATTGAGGATCACTAGAGCAAGGAAAATTAATATGTGCCAACAAGTTCTGCCCTGGTCAGTTTTTAAAATCATTTAGGAGTAATGAACAATTCAGACAGGAGCATGTAGAGTGGAAATTTCACGAGAATGAAGTTTTGTCCTTACATTGGTTGTCTGGCAGCAGAATCAAATAAATAGGAAGAGACTGGCAAACGATAGCAAAATATTTTTTATCTTTGCAACTGCCCTCAGGATTGTCATTTTCATACCTCTTTACCTACATTAATTCAGTCTGAGCTGTTTCTTTTGTTATGTGTGTAGATTTTTTTTTAATTACATCGTTCTAATGAGAGAAGTCAATTAACTCAGGAGGCGGCCTTAGTTCGTTTAACTTGGTAAGGAAGTTGAAGTCACCCTGTAACGAAGTTGAAGTCACCCACGAAGTATGCCTCTCTGCACCTGACATTCCTTCCCGGGGCGGGACTCCTCCCTGTGAATAAGAGGAAAGACTTGGCCAATTACCTTAGACAAAGCCGGACAGCTGCCGAGCCCAGCTGGGAGGAGTCTCCTCGGAGCAGAGCTGGTACAGTCACAGTCGGGGGCTTTTTGCCACCTCCTTTTATTCACACCATTTTACCCAGCAGATTACCTGAGGTGGAGGTTGAGAAGGGGGTGTCGCTCTTTGCAGGGGACCTCCTCCACTGGGAGGGCTTTAGGGTGGGAAGAATCGCAGTTCCCAGGTTTCTGCTTGAGGCTGATGCTTTCTAACCCCAGTGCGCCACTCCTCGCCCCACACAGACCAGAACATCAGGTTCGGTCCCCCGGAGTCTCAGGTGGCACCAGAGCGGCATCCTGGGCTGAGGATTTGGTGGAAAGAGAAGGGGTGGTCCTTCTGTCTGGACCCCTCTCGGCTGACTCACAGGAAGTGCTAACCGAGCTTGGCACTGGGCGAAGCAGCTCCAGGATTCTGCCCCTCCCTGCCGCGGGTCCGCCCGCCCTCTCCGACGTAGGCTTTGCAGTATCTCCCGATGGAACAATGAGGTGGTTCCAAGTTTGCTAAGACTCCCAGGGAAATTCTTTGGACTTCTGTGATAGTCTTCAAAATGTTTTGCCACCGACTTTTCCAAGAAGCTGTTTTTTAAAAATCAAACAAAAAACCCAAACCCTTCCCTTCGTGGATTGCTTTGTCTGAAGATTACTCAGGGTGACCATGGTTCAACGCTTTAGCCTCAGGAGGCAGCTATCCAAGGTGGGTAGCTTGGGTAGCTTTGTGTTTGTTTAGGGGAAACTCTCACTAGATTCGGCATGGTTTCCTTTTTCTCTAGAACTGTTCTGTCAAGCCTGCCTTCCTCCAGAGCTAAGGAGGGGCTGGGGGAGGAAGCGCTTCCTTTTGTTCTTTCCTCTGACAGACACAAAGGTTTCAGGCTGACTGCACTGGCAACTCCACATTTTGTTCCCCTAAAACCAAAGCTGTCATCTGTGAATTTGGAGAAAGTTATAGTTTGCTTCTGAAATACAGTTTCCAAGGGGGTGTGCATGAAAGAGAATAGTGGGTAAAAAGTGCATTTTTAATTAGCAGTTAGTAGCAGCTTGTTGACCAAGATGAGAAAGCCTTATTGGTCTATGGAATCAGTGCTTTTGTACAAAATTTAGTATTAAACTGGGGAAAACTTCCGTAAAATAGTCCAATAAGCAAGACCTGCATAAAAATGTTAAAATGAGTGGTCGTGTTAAGAAATTCGCATAGTGAATGAAAGAGAGTGTGAAAAGCAGTAACCAGAAGGCTCACCAATCAATTTTTTACAGAGTTCTGTTTGAAAAGCAGGTTCTGTTTGTGCAGTTTTGAGGGAAAAGTTCTTTTAACCTAAGAAATTCAAACTTTAGAAAAAAAAAAAAAGGCAAAGCTCTCCTGGAAGAGGGGCTGCTGATTTTCTGAATCAGCCCCGCCGTGGCTAGCCCTCTTTTGACCCAGTCGTCGAGCTCTCTGTTTAGCTGGTGCAGGAACTAGTTTGGAAAGAGGTATGCTGAGAGTTGAGCTTTATTTCAAAATCATTCTGTTCTTTAAAAAGCCTATTCTAAAAAGGTAGTAGTTGGTGGCTGAATTGTGTCACAGTTCATTCCCTGCAGGCAGAAATTTAAATAGTAAATCAGTAGGCATTCTTTACTTTCTTGGTTGTTAGAATTGTTAAATCCTGAAATGTGTTATTATCTTAAGGGGAACCTTTTAGTTTCTCACAGGCGACCTCAGTATAGAATATGTGCACTCAGGCAAAAATGAGCAAAGAAAGCTCTTGCGTCCATCCACATGTCAAATTTCATCTCTTGGATCACCAAGCCTAACAGGGACTTTTTAGAAGTAGTAAAATAAATTTCCTTTGCTTCTCTTCCCCCAATTCTAGCTACGTGTGTTGGGGGTAGTGGGCCAAGAAGTCCCCAAATTCTTCTAAGCAATTTAAAAAGAATAATTTTTGTTAATCTTTGAACAACCTCTGGTTTATAGATTGCCAAATATGTAGTACATTTAAAAAGCAGATATGTAGATTCTCAGGGCAGTAATTTTTTTGCACAAGAATGCCTGAAATAGTTCAGGGCCAGGTGATAATTTTCTAATTAGCAAATAACTTCATTCTAGGTACTTTGCTCCCAATGTTTCCCAATTATTTTTTGAACTTTTATGCTTTTGATACTATATGCCCTGCTGTGACTTATAGAAAAGACACTTCAGGGGAATTAGGAGCACATCTTCTCTATAACATGAAGAAATAAAAGGTACATGATATAAAAACATTCAAAGAGGTAACCTCTTTGAATTCCCTTTTTTTATCACCCCTCCCCTCCATGTTAACATGGTTTCTAGGTCCTGTACTGAATGGTGAGGACCAAATCTAAGGAAATTTGTTTTCTATCAAATGTCCTTAATATAGTATACATTCAGTAATGAATTGAAAAAATAATATTAATTGTTTCAATCTGTGTGGGTGCTGAAATATGAAAGAGAAATGAAGTTTTATCAATAACCTTTTTTTAATTTTAGTGGATGCCCTGTACCTCTGTTCTGTTTTTTCAGCTAAACCCGTATGTTACCTGAGATCACAGGACCTGTCTTAACCCAGTACGTGGTATTTCTGGCACACGTTGAACACTAAAAGTGAAATTAGGTTTTTGTAGGTCAAAAACAGTTGGCTAGAAACTGCATGCAATTTCATATGATTCCAACTTCAGTAACAAGTATTTTTGCCAATAAGAAATAATACTCCACAAGTATAGAATTGTCTTAAGATGATCTCATATTTTAAAAAGCAGTTTCCTATTTTAACAAAAAGAATACTCATGTGATCATCTATAAATTCTGTTGGAAATTTTTTGAAAGAAAACGTAAATGTTTGCAGTGATTTTATTTATTTATTTTTTTAAAGATTTTATTTATTTATTTTGACACAGAGAGACAGCGAGGGAGGGAGTATAAGCAGGGGGAGTAGGAGAGGGAGAAACAGGCTTCCGGCTGAGTCCAACACAGGGCTCCATCCCAGGACCCCGGGATCATGACCTGAGCCTAGGCAGACGCTTAACAACTGAGCCACCCAGGTGCCCCATGTTTGCAGTGATTTTAAACCTAGTTTCTAATTTAGATTGTTTTTATCTTGTTTGATAGCCATGTTTACTTACACTGGATATTTTCCCTAGAGTATTCAAATGATTCCTCTAGGCTAATGAATGTTCACATCTGAACTTGTAAAAGGAGGAAGGAAATTAAGAAATAGGTGAAATAAAAACCTTCATTTTTAAAAAGAGATGCTCAGTAATCTTTTTTACTAGATCCTAGTTACCTGACTCCCAGAGAATTTCTCTTTCTTTGCTACTTTAGATTATTTTCTTTCTACCTAGTTTTCTCACATATGACTTCAAAAATATTCACTAAAGAAAGCTTTTTCTTTCTGCCCTACGTCCTCTGTATGAACTAGTCAGAATAGTCTGGAACCTGCCAATGAGGACTTATCATGTAATTCTCTTAACAAATGTTCAAATTAGGTGGTATCAGCTTCACTTTGTCATTAAAGAAACAGGTTTGGAGAAGTTAAGTCATTTGTCCAAACCTGGAGGTAGAGTCAGGTTCAAACTTAGGTCTAATTCCATACCCATTCTGTTTCCCCACACTGTCTTCCTAAGCTTCTGGTGTATTAGTCATTCTATTGTAATCGCTCATGTTTCTCCATATGTTTATACCTGGTTATAGACAACAGTATAGTAAATAACTTGGGTAACTTCCTTAGAGCAGTTCTTTCTCCTGCAGTTGAAATTAGTATCCGATAGGGTTTAAATTTATCAGTCAAACTTGGTAAGTGTTTCTTGCAATTGAAGTTTTTTTCTTTGGCCAGAGAAACATTGATTTCAATAAGATAGCTGATTTAATAAGGTCATATTAAATGCAGTTTGAAGTTTACTGCATGCGTTTGTATGAACCTTTAGACTATATTGCCTTTTAAAAAACTTCTATTAAGGGGAGAGTTACTCTTAAGTTTCTATAATAATTTTTTTTTTAAAGATTTTATTTATTTGACAGAGAGCGCAAGTAGGCAGAGCGGCAGGCAGAGGGAGAGGGAGAAGCAGGCTCTCTGCTGAGCAGGGAGCCCGACGTGGGGCTTGATCCTAGGACTCTGGGATCATGACCTGAGCTGAAGGCAGCTGCTTAACCAACTGAGCCACCCAGGCGCTCCTATAATAATGTTTAAGGGATGAAATATCATGAGTTACACATTCAGAAGTTCTTAAGTCACTTTGGCTCTAACCTTCCCTCCCCCATCTTTTAACTGGGTAATAGAAAATCAGATTTTTTTCCAGAAACTTCAGTGTTTTAGGAGGTATGATAAAAGCTGAGGAGGCTTTGAGAAATGATTTTAAGATAGATTATTCCAGTAAAATACTATACCCTCTTATTGTACTTTTGAATGGTAATGATTCTCATAAGTTCAAAAATTAAAAATTGACCTAACTGTGGAGGTGCCTGGGTGGCACAGTTCGTTAAGTGTCTCACTCTTGGTTTTGTCTCAGGTTGTGATCTCCGGGTCCTGAGATCAAGCCCCACCTCCTTGCCCCTCCCACTTGTCCTCTCTCTCTCTCTCAAAAAACCCCAACCCCCCCCCTTTTTTAATTACCTAACTGTGAAATCTTGCTTCCAAATGTGTCTTTTCGACTGATTTATATCCCTGCCACCTTAGATAACCAGTTTCTTATTTATCCTTCCACTGTTTGTTTATGCATATGTAAGAAAATGTGAACATATGTTTCCTGGCCCTTCTAAAATGAAAGATAAATGCTGTACAGTTTGTTCTAAGATAACTTGGACTTTATAATTTTCCAGATATGGATCTAAATAGTTATTTCAGTTTGGGGTTCACATTTATTTTTAACATTTTCATGGGAGGCTTAAGTTCTTTAGGATAGGTATAGCAACACAGAATGTACTCTCCATATCAAAGATAATTAAAATAACAGCAAATTAATGATGGCTTGATTCTTTTTCAGTTCATACCACGTTTCTTTCCTACTTGGTTTGAATGCTCTCTCTTGCTATATTAAAAATTTTCAGGGGTGCCTGGGTGCCTCAGTCGGTTAAGCATCTGCCTTTGGCCCAGGTCATGATCCCAGGGTCCTGGGATCGAGTTCCCCATCAGGTTCCTTGCTCAGCGGGGAGCCTGCTTCTCTCTCTGCTGATTCCCCTGCTTGTCCTCT